AGAAGGAGAAGGAGAAATAGCAGAAGGAAAAGAATAAGAAGAAATAGAAGGAGAAGAAATGGAGGGAGGAGAAAAAAATAGAGGAAATAGGAAAAGAAATAGAAGAAATAGGAGGAGAAGAAATAGAAAAAGGAGGAGGAGGAGAAGGAGAAAGAGAAGGAGAAATAGAAGGAGAAGAATAAAAATAGGGAGAAGAAAAAATAGAAGAAGAAATAGAAGGAGGAGAAGAAATAGAAGGAGAAGGGATTTAAGGGTAGGGAGGGGTTGGAAAGGGCCGACGTTGGCCGAATCAAGAGGCTAGTCCTCATGGTTAGAAAAATACCCGTCCCTTTTCCTCGGGTGCACTTACCGGCCCGATGGTCAGCTCTTTCTTGATCAGTTCCTTCAGTTCACTCTTGCTCAGGGAGTTCTTGTCGCCTTCCTTGCACGCGTATTTGTGGAAAACGGCCACCAGAGTGCAGAGGGCTTGGTCGATGGGGGTGGCCATGATTCGAACTCGGAACCGGGAGAGAGGATCTAGACGAGAGAGAGGAGAAAGAACAATCCCAAGCTTTTTTTTTTTTTTTCCCTGTCTCCTTTTTCTCCCTCCGGGTTTTTAATTTTCAATCATTTTTTATTCTTGGTCCTCAAAGCTGGCTTCGCTTTGCATTCGTTTACCCAAAGAGGCTTTTGATTTTAAGCTGTGATTTCATTTTAATGGCCACGTTCAAAGGTTATCAAAAGTATTCCTTCAGGCTGGGCTGGGCCGGGCTCCAATTCCCCACCCTGAAAACGCTCGCTCTTTTAATTTCCCCTTGTGGAGCCTCTTTGGCTAGGAGGAGTCTACCTTGAAAGTCCCCAACCATCCTTTTCTTTTCCACTGACAATTCTTTTATTTCCGCCCCCCGCGCCCGTCTTCCCAACCACCATATTGAATCCTTGCTTTCCTCTGCTCCCTCCCGAATGCTTTCCTCATTCCCCGGGTCGAATATTCAGGCCCATGTTTGAGGGGCACACCCGGAGGTCATTTAGCCTGACCCCCTGCTTCCTTGTCGGAGCGAAAGCAGAGAATTCCTGCTCCTCCGGGGTGCCTGATCCACTCTCGTGTTTTAAGTTTCCTTTTAGCGGCTCAGACAGGCCACGGTGCTTATTTTTTTGGGGGAAAAAATCTTTTTTGATTGGCAGGCTGGGGGGCGGGGGGGAGAAGCGATAGGGCCTGACCCCAAAATCCCACTTTTGCAGAAAAAGTTCATTAAATCATTTCCCTCTGGATCAGTGGCCCTTTTCACTTGGGAATCTTCCTTTTCCTTTCTCCTGTCTCCCTTTTTTCCTTCCTTT